TGGTGAGGGCCGTTGCAGTGTGGATGCCTGAGCTCAGCGCTAGTCAAGGCAGCCTGGGCAACTCATGGCGGTAACTCCATGCTTACTAAAAATATGAAAAATTTGCCAGCGTGATGGTGCAGTCCTTGTAATCGCAGCTACTCAGTGAGGCTGAGGCCATCTTGAGAATCATCTTAAACGATGCGGAGGCAGGAGGCAGCCGGGAGCCAAAGATTTGCCCAATGCAACTCCAGCGCTGGGCCGACAGAGCAAGCTCTGTGTCTCAAAAAAAAAAAAAAAAAAAAAAGAAGATAGCACCTCTGAATAGCCTAGTGACTCTCAGCCTGGACAACGTAGCATGTTGACTGGCCAGCGATCAATCCCATCAAGTTTCACAGACACATTAGACGTTCAGGACAGTGGCTTCCTCTGAGTGGCTGCAGTGAGCCATGATCTCACCACTTCACTCCAGCTTAGGTGAAAGAGTGAGACCCCACCTAAAAAAAAATAATAATTAAATTGTAGTAACATAAGCATAATATGAAATTCACTACCTTAACTTCTTTGATTTTTAGAGACAGGGTCTTGCTCTGTTGCCCGGGCGAAATGAAGTGGTACAATCCTAGCTCACAGCCTTAAACTCCTGGCTTTAAGTGATCCTGTTGCCTTGGCCTTCCAAAGCACTGTGATTACATGTGTGAACAACAGCACCCAGTATTCTTTAAACTATTTTTTTTTTTTTGAGACTGGGTCTCGCTTTGTCACCCAGAGTGGCGTGATTAGTTCAGTGGCGTGATCGTGGCTCACTGCAGCCTCTTCCTCCCTGGCCCAAGTGATCCTCCCTCCTCAGCGCCACAAGTAGCTGGGACCACACATGTGTACTACCACGCCTGACTAATTTTATTTATTTTTTGTAGAGATGGGGTTTCACCATGTTGCCCAGGCTGGTCTTGAACTCCTGGGCCCATGTAATTCTCCACCTTGGCCTCCCAAAGTGCTGGGATTACAGGCGCGAGTGAGTCACCTGGCGCCTGGCCAAACCATTTTTAAGGGTACAGCTCGGCAGTGTTAAGTATGTTCACATTACCTTTAATTGGCATCGCCTAATGACCAATGGCTTGAGCCCCTTCTCATGTGCTCACTGCTATTGGGCCACACTTCCTATGGCGGCTCTGTTCAGGACACTGCCTGTCCGTTTTCACTGGGTTGCAGGTTAGACCTCAGAGTGACTGGTAAGGGACATGTGCGCCCCCTGTACGCTCTGAGGGACGGTCCCTGGGACCCACACACTTACTGCTTCTTGGTGGCGGGGAGGAAGCCCACCATCTCCATGGCCTGCTTGAGCCTCTCAAAGTCATGCTTCAGGTCCTCCCCATCTTCAATCTTCAAGTTATGCTGGAAAACAAAGGCGTTGGTACTTTGGGCATTCCTAGGCTGGCGAGGGTGGCGTGCCAGAGTGATTTTGGCCGGAGCTAGCGGGGCAGGGCCCCAGGACCAGGGGAATGAATGGGTTCTTTTAATGCTGCCTTCTGGGAGCGGGTTTGGGGGCCAGGGCAGGCTGCCTCTGACTTCCCGGCTGTGCATAAACAGCTTGAAGCCGGGAACAGAGGTGGCGTTTGTGACTGGGGCTTGAGGCTGTTTACCTGGTTGAGGTAGAAATAATCTTCAGGCTGCTTGAGCTGAAATTCTCGGCGCTCTTCCTCGCTGACCCCGAGTAACAAATAATAAAACACGTGGTAGTTCCTACAGGTCAAAATTGGGAGGAACACAGTTGTTTTTGGAGGCCAAGCAATAGCTACTCTGCAAACCACTACTAACATGGCTTTGGAGAGCACACCTCAAATATGTACAAATTTAAAACAGCAAGTCAGTTCTTATGTCTTCAAAAAACAAAAAGAAACAAATGAGCATCTTGAGCAAATAGATTTCCGGAGGACTGGAGGTGGGTGGGTGTACATCTCACTAACTTGTCAATCGGAAATATTTCTTTCTTTTTTTTTTTT